AATCTTCTTCGTTTACATGGATTTTGGATTTTCATTTGCTCACTTCCTAAGCTCCTAAACAATGTATTTCGTGTACAAAAATTATATGAAATTTTCTTGAAATACTTTTCTAAAGTAACTTTTCCAACTTTGTAGTAGTTAAGTCACTTATTTATGAGTACCCTCAAATAGTTATTAAAAAAATAAATTATCCATCAATTTCAGCTATCTCAAACATGTCCCCCTCCCTCCCTCCCTCCCTCTCTCTCTCTCCCTCTCTCCCTAGTCTTATATTTTTCCTATGCTGCATCCAAACATCGCCCTTATGGAGTTTTAATGTACAATGATGCACTACTATACAGCACTGTTCTTCGGAGGAATACAAGGAATCTACCTAGCTGGTATACGTACAATGCAATGTTGCATTTCTGCCGAGTCAAAGATGTTGGTAGAGAAATAAAAACTTTAATGAACAAGATGTATACATGAATCTGTATGAAGTTAGCCGACAGAGCTGTCAAAATGCCAAATTTGCATCATAGCTAGCAGCTACCAACATGATCAGAATTAATGGATCACATTGGATTCGGCTTGGAAACAATGGCTAAACCTGAACCTGATGAACAAACATAAATGATATACTGTCACACCCTAAAAATCCCAAATATATAAATTTTTGTTTAATTGGAATTATTAGAATTTATTTTAAAAGCCTAGAAGAGAAAATCTAATTTTAATTTGTTAAATCTCAATATAAAATTGGGCTAGATAAAATTTTGTTAAATACTTTGCTTAATTCTATAATTCCTAGATTTTTCTGGGATTTATTTGAGCTAAGGAAGTATTTTTAATAAATGGAATTGCATTTCATGAATAATTTAAATTGAAAAAGGTTTTTAAAAGTCTCTTTTGGCTTTGGGCCGAAAGTCGGCCCAAAACCTCTCTCTCTCTCCCCCGGCCCAGCCGGCCCAGTCCGCAGCCGCGCGCGCGCCCTCGCCGTCGCTGACAGGTGGGTCCCACCTGTCGGATCCGTCGTCCTCCTCGCGTCGGCCGCCGCCCGAAACCCTAGCGCCGCCGCCGTCGTCGCTTTCCAAATTCGGTCGATCCTTTCCTTCTCCGGCCGAATGATAGAGGGGAAATGATCCTCGGGATCTCCTCTACCTTTTCTCTTTTGGAATCATCGTCTATCTCGCTTTGGAAGTTCGTGGATTCGAGATCGAATCGGATTCCTCTCTCTCTCCCGAACCCGAAGTTTCCTTCTCGTCGCCGGTCGCCGTGGGCCTTCGCCGCCGCCTCCTTGCACCTATAAAAGGATCCCCAAGTCCGCCGCTACCCGCCGCCACCCTCGCCTTTGCTCGCTGTCGTCTGTAGCGCCCTAGCCTCGTGCAGCCTAGCGTCGCCGTCGTCGCCGCCGCTTCAGCCGTGCGCCGCCGTCGTTTCGGTCGTCGTCATCACTCGGGAAGGCCACCGTCGGGATCGCCAAGTCGTCGCCGTCCTCGTCCGCCCCTTCGCCGTCGTTGAAGACCGTCGGAGCACCGTCGTCACCGTCGACCCGAAGACCGCCGCCGCTTCTTCCTCGTCGCCGCCGCCGTCCGTTGCTCTTCCGCCGTGGTTTTGGTCACCGGTGAGTTCGCCGCGTCGCCCTCTACCCGTTGGTGCCTTCCGTTCGCGTCGTCGAGCCGTCGTTCGCCGGTGAGCTTGCGTTGCCGAGCCGCCGCCAGTGCTGACGTCATCGCTGACGTCTCGTTGCCGTTCCCCGTGAGCCGGTCGTGGACCGTTTGATCTCGGCTGTCCGTTTTGGATAGGATCGATCTCGGCCGTCCATTCCCGTGAACCGCTGCCGTGCACCCGGTCCACCGCAAACCCTAGTCGCTGACGCAATAATCCTCCTTTTCCTTTTCAAAAATAATTCATTATTGCGTCATAATTCAATTAAAATCCATATAAAGGTTTTAATCCGATTTAATCTTTGAAAATTCATAACTAATTCATTGTAACTCAGTTTAATGTGGTTCAAGTTGCAAAAGTTGTATAAAATAAAGATCTACATATTAAAATTGTCCATAAATTGAATTAAATTTATTTAATTCTTTTTAAATGGGCTTTAATTAGATTTAATCTTGTAAAATTCATAATAAATTCATTTGAAGTCAGAATGAGGCCGTTCAAGTCTCATAATTCATCTAAAATTATGATCTACCTGTTTGTTTACTTTTTATGTATTGTTTATTTGGTTTTTATTAGTCTTTTTCTTCGTTTTGCGTGTTAGCTTGTCGTTTCCGTCGTTGTGAAGGTTCGCGAGTGCGCCGGAAGTATTCAAGAAGATTAATTGAAGACCGATTATTGCAAGGCAAGTCACACAGATCCTAAACACAATCCTTTGAGCATGTTGATCCTATATTTAAATTCTCTATTTATTTCAACTGTGCATTTATTTTCGAATGTCACCGGGTGGTGTGAATCTATTCCTTTGTTATGGCCTGTTTGTATTGATTACTTTATTCCTTGATATCTTGGGTTATTATAACTTAACTAGTTGAGCTATATATATTGGTTCAGCTAGATATTAGATATGATTGCTTAGCCATGCTTAGAAACATTAGCACACTATTGGGATAACTTATTATTCACTATTATTTAATGATGGATTAATGATAGTTCACGATGGTCAATCGTGATTGGTTAAATAATTACTTGCCAACTAAAATATGGTAAAGGTGGGTTGTGAGCACATGGTTTTGAAAGTCGTGCTCATGACGATTAAGGACCGGTTCGCGAGCTACTATTGTGAAACATTAACCGTGCCAACCACAAGCCAGTGTGGGCAACGGCTTTACCTTTTGTATAGCATGGTTCATTGTGGGGCACCAGACTGAGAAGTGGCTGGGGAGTCCATGCCTCTGGTTTTTGAGGGGGTGATTATGATTCAGGAATGGTGCGCTGCGGTGGATTGTGTTATGCGAGGGGTAATGTCACAGCTCCTTTCCGAGGTACCGTGGTGGTACTGAGGCACATGGTGACATGTTGTGGGGCTGTGTCTTGTGGGTACAGTGGTACACCTCTGGCCAGAGTAAAACTATTCGAATAGCCGTGCCCGCGGTTATGGGCGGGTTGAGCAATGTTTTTCGTGATTAGTCTCACACTTCTCACAATAATTATAGATGTTATACCTGGTAATAATTTGCTTAGCTCCTGGTTTGGAGATTAGATCTGTACAGCCGGGTATGGTTGTTCAGGATGGTTGGGCCTGTGCAGCATGGGTGTGCTGTTCAGTGTTGATTAAAATTTCTGATTAATTACTCTATTGTTTTACTACTCTTAACTCTTTGCTAAATGTTGCTTTCGCAAATGAGACTATATTATGCCATCCTTTGGTATCCTTGTGCATTTGCATATTTGCTGTGTGGCTTGCTGAGTATGTCATATGCTCACCTTGCAATAATCAATCAACCTCAGTTAAAGAAAAAGGATCCAGAAGGAGAAGGCGTTTGGCTTATACCCCAGTTGAGCTGCTTGTGGGAGTGGAGCTGGAGCTTCGCTAGATTTTATTTTCCGCTGCAGTTTTCTTCATGGTGAGGACTAAGTGCCTCTTAAGTAAGTATTTATCGTTTTAGTTAATTTGATGAATCTGTATATTAAATTGTCAGTTTGTGTACCTCGGCTGATTCCTGGACGAGGATTTTATGCACAAATAAGTTCGGAAATTACTAGTGAATTTTTGGGCGTGTCATATACCACTCCAAAAATTAGTTATGTTGAATTTGCCGATGATAACTGGTATTGGATGTGAGGTCTTACCTGACCCGGACGTTGTATGAATTTGACAGGGTTTAATTGGATATCTGCCCCTGAAAATGGCTCTTGCATGTACCACTAAATATGCAGTTGTCTCTTTTAAGTGCATGTTCTAAACTTCTAAGGATGATTATGGAATGATGTCTTGTTAGTTTAGAAAGTGATGTGTTTTGTTCATGGTATATTTCAGGGATGAGATCATGGTATATGAGTTTGTTTTTCCAGCCCTTCAGAAAAATGATAATTTACATTTGTCAGGGGAAATTGTAGGCCAAAACGGCATGTCTAAAATGGCCACAAAGTCATAACAACCTCAATTTAAAAACAAAGACCTTAAACACAAATATAGTACTAGCTCCAACATAATCCTGCAATAATTGTTGCAAGGTTCCTATAAAAAATAATATACCTTAGATTGATCACAATCAAGCTAAGACCCTGTTTAGATGGGACTAAAACTTTTTAAGTCCCTATCACATCGGATGTTTGGAAACTAATTATAAATATTAAACGTAGACTATTAATAAAACACATCCATAATCTTGGACTAATTCGCGAGACGAATCTATTGAGCCTAATTAATCCATGATTAGCCTATATGATGCTACAGTAAACATTCTCTAATTATAGATTAATTAGGTTTAAAAAGTTTGTCTCGCGAATTAGCTTTCATTTATGTAATTAGTTTTGTAAGTAGTTTATATTTAATACTCTAAATTAGTGTCTAAATATAGAGACTAAAGTTAAGTCCCTGAATCCAAACACCACCTTAAATCAAGGTTACTATTGACAAATGCTACCTAGCCTTTTTGAAACTTGGCAGCCAAATATTTAGCCAAGCAACAAAAAGGAAAAAAAAAGTGTCACCTCAGAAAAGCAACTTTTGATAAATAACACTTGAACTACAAATCTACACTTGTCTGTCCCATCCTAAAAAGTTAACAACACCCAATTTCACACTCAAAGACACCAGACACCAGTACAAATTCACAACAGCAACACACCATCCATCCCCAGCCAAAAACCAAAAAGAAAAAACAAGAACACAAACTTTATGCAAGAAAAGAGGAAAAAACGTCCATAAATAAAGAGAGTAAAAATTCAAGCATAAAATCCAACAAAACATCACATGTTTCTTTTTCCTAGCAAAAATAAAAATAAAAATAAAATAAAATAATCACATGTGTTTTTTTTATAGCAGTAGCAGCCAGCAGGAGAGGAGAGGAGACGACTCCATTGCCAAAAAGCTCTCACCTTTGCCTCCTCACTCTCCTCACACTCTCTTGTCTCCACTCGCCGCGCCACGCCACGCCGCGCCGCGCAATGCGCCTCCACTACCACCACCTCGCCGTCGTCCTCCTCGCCGCCGTGGCGGCGGCGGCGACGGCGGCGGCCGGTGGCGAAGCCGACGCGCTCCTCGCGGTGAAGGCGGCGCTCGACGACCCGACGGGCGCGCTCGCGTCGTGGACGACGAACACCACCTCGAGCCCGTGCGCGTGGTCGGGCGTGGCGTGCAACGCGCGGGGTGCGGTGGTGGGGCTCGACGTGTCCGGGCGCAACCTCACCGGCGGCTTGCCCGGCGCCGCGCTGTCGGGGCTGCAGCACCTGGCGCGCCTCGACCTCGCCGCGAACGCGCTGTCGGGGCCCATTCCGGCGGCGCTGTCCCGCCTCGCGCCGTTCCTCACCCACCTCAACCTCTCCAACAACGGCCTCAATGGCACCTTCCCGCCGCAGCTGTCGCGGCTCCGCGCGCTCCGGGTGCTCGACCTCTACAACAACAACCTCACCGGCGCGCTCCCGCTCGAGGTGGTGTCCATGGCGCAGCTCCGCCACCTCCACCTCGGCGGCAACTTTTTCTCCGGCGGGATCCCGCCCGAGTACGGCCGGTGGGGGAGGCTCCAGTACCTCGCCGTCTCCGGCAACGAGCTCTCCGGGAAGATACCACCGGAGCTAGGCAACCTGACGAGCCTCAGGGAGCTCTACATCGGCTACTTCAACAGCTACTCCGGTGGGATACCACCCGAGCTCGGCAACATGACCGACCTCGTCCGCCTCGACGCCGCCAACTGCGGCCTCTCCGGCGAGATCCCACCGGAGTTGGGCAACCTCGCGAACCTGGACACGCTGTTCCTGCAGGTGAACGGCCTCGCCGGCGGCATCCCGCGCGAGCTCGGCAAGCTCGCGAGCCTCAGCTCGCTCGACCTGTCCAACAACGCGCTCGCCGGCGAGATCCCGGCGACGTTCGCCGACCTCAAGAACCTCACCCTGCTCAACCTGTTCCGGAACAAGCTGCGAGGCGACATCCCGGAGTTCGTCGGCGACCTGCCCAGCCTCGAGGTGCTGCAGCTATGGGAGAACAACTTCACCGGCGGGATCCCTCGCCGGCTGGGCCGCAACGGGAGGTTCCAGCTGCTCGACCTCTCGTCGAACCGCCTCACCGGCACGCTGCCGCCGGACCTCTGCGCCGGCGGCAAGCTGGAGACGCTCATCGCGCTCGGCAACTCGCTCTTCGGCGCCATCCCCGCCTCCCTCGGCAAGTGCACGTCGCTCACCCGCGTCCGCCTCGGCGACAACTACCTCAATGGCTCCATCCCCGAGGGTCTCTTCGAGCTCCCGAACCTGACTCAGGTGGAGCTCCAGGATAATCTCATCTCCGGCGGCTTCCCGGCGGTGTCCGGCACCGGCGCGCCGAATCTTGGCCAGATTAGCCTCTCCAACAACCAGCTCACCGGAGCATTGCCGGCGTTCATCGGGAGCTTCTCCGGTGTTCAGAAATTGCTCCTTGATCAGAACGCGTTCACCGGCGAAATCCCGCCGGAGATTGGCCGGCTGCAGCAGCTGTCCAAGGCTGACCTCAGTGGCAATTCGTTCGACGGCGGCGTGCCGCCGGAGATTGGGAAATGCCGGCTGCTCACCTACCTTGACCTCAGTAGGAACAACCTCTCCGGTGAGATACCGCCGGCCATCTCTGGGATGCGGATACTGAACTATCTGAACCTGTCAAGGAACCAGCTCGACGGCGAGATTCCGGCCACCATTGCCGCAATGCAAAGCCTCACCGCCGTGGATTTCTCGTACAACAACCTGTCCGGGCTCGTGCCGGCCACAGGGCAATTCAGCTACTTCAATGCCACATCCTTCGTCGGCAACCCGGGATTGTGCGGGCCGTACCTCGGGCCATGCCATCCCGGTGCTCCCGGCACTGACCATGGCGGCCGCAGCCATGGTGGACTCTCCAATAGCTTCAAGCTGCTGATTGTGCTAGGATTGCTTGCCCTTTCAATTGCATTTGCTGCCATGGCGATCTTGAAGGCCCGATCACTGAAGAAGGCGAGTGAGGCGCGTGCTTGGAAGCTCACCGCATTCCAGCGCCTCGAATTCACCTGCGACGATGTGCTTGATAGTCTCAAGGAGGAGAACATCATTGGCAAAGGTGGAGCTGGGACTGTGTACAAGGGGACAATGCCGGATGGTGAACATGTCGCGGTGAAGCGGCTTCCCGCCATGAGCCGTGGTTCCTCCCATGATCACGGGTTCTCCGCAGAGATTCAGACGCTCGGGAGGATCCGGCACCGCTACATTGTGAGGTTGCTCGGCTTCTGCTCGAACAATGAGACGAACCTACTCGTTTACGAGTATATGCCCAATGGCAGCCTTGGGGAGCTACTCCATGGCAAGAAGGGTGGCCACCTGCATTGGGACACAAGGTACAAGGTTGCTGTTGAGGCTGCCAAGGGGCTCTGCTACCTGCACCATGATTGCTCACCGCCGATATTGCACCGCGATGTCAAGTCGAACAACATTCTCCTTGACTCCGATTTCGAAGCGCATGTTGCTGACTTCGGGCTTGCCAAGTTCTTGCAGGACTCTGGCACATCAGAGTGCATGTCTGCAATTGCTGGCTCTTATGGTTATATTGCTCCAGGTAAAAGATTGATCTTTGGTTCATTTGTGCTGCCTTCGTATATGGTTTAAATTCGCTTGATTTTGATATACCACTATTGTGTTTCTGTTGTAGTCTTGTTTTAACTTGTTAAGAATTGTCTTGCTATTCTAGAAGAGAATTGATGTCTTCAAGTTGGCTAATCATGCACTGTGTTGTGATTGTGGATTTACAGAGTATGCATATACGCTCAAGGTCGATGAGAAGAGCGATGTCTACAGCTTCGGTGTTGTGCTCCTTGAGCTGATCACCGGAAAGAAGCCGGTAGGGGAGTTTGGGGATGGCGTCGACATCGTTCAGTGGGTCAAGACGATGACGGACTCGAACAAGGAACATGTGATCAAGATCTTGGACCCTAGGCTCTCAACTGTGCCGGTCCACGAGGTCATGCACGTCTTCTACGTCGCATTGCTTTGCGTCGAGGAGCAGAGCGTGCAGCGACCGACAATGAGGGAGGTGGTGCAGATCCTCAGTGAGCTTCCCAAGCCGACATCGAAGCAAGGAGAGGAGCCTCCTAGTGGTGAAGGTGCTGTGTTTGATCTTGTAGTGCCAGCTGAATCTGCAGAGGCCAATGAAGCCAAAGAGCAGCAGCAGCAGCAGCTAAACTCACCATCTTCACCGCCACCTGATCTCATCAGCATATGAAGAAATGCTGAACTAAATTGTTACAGTTCAGTTTGATTTGGTGAAGTTTGGGTTTCTAATCTGGAATGCTTAGGGTGTGTGGTATGTAGGCCTTCGCATTTAGGGTGTGGAAATTGTAGGCCACTGAATTTCTTGTGTGGCATGTATCTTTGGTATCTTAGGTATTTGTGTTGTAAATATAAGCTTCTTAACCTCCAGTTTCCTGCTACAATCAAGAAACTTTGTAGGAAGTTAAGAGCTTAGTTATCTGAATCCATTTTAGCTTCTTTTTTTTTTCTTTCAATCTGAGCCCCAAAATGTCAAATGCTATCTCCATCCAATGTGACAGCATAACCTTTTAACTGTGGAATCATGATTATCAAGGTGTTCTGTTATCTGTACTTGAGAGTGTAAACTGCTGAAGTGAGCAGGTGTTGCATTCAAGAGTTGTACTCAAAAACCTCAAGTCTGAAGGCAAAGAACAAATGTACTTTCACATCTGGTGAACAAGAACCACTCATTCAGATTTGGCCAGTTAATGCATATCATCCCTTTCTCCACTGTATAAGATGCTTCTCCTCGACTGTTGAAATGTACCCTGGGTGATATTAATGCTTTCGTCCTTAAGCTTTGCTTGCTTAGCTTAATTTACTGAAGATTATGCTACTATACTCATTCACCATTCTTTCTTCTTTTACCGAATACATTACTGCATGTTACTCATCTTTTAATGGTTCATCATATTTCGAATGCAGTTTACTACTGCAGGCTGGCTATACTAATTCAAATCACTCCAAATCTCCAATAGCAATGATCAGCATAATGAAGGCTTTGCAAAAGGATTTGGGCAAGATTCAGAGTGAAACTTTACAACATCAAACAGGTGTATTTTGTTCAGTTAACAATAACAACAACTAACTACCAACCTGTGGTTGCAGAGTTGCAGGTCAGGATCAGGTCAGCAGTATGGGAGCAAAACTTTAAAGTGAAGTGAAAGCGAGAGAGGATTCATCAGAGTAGCACACTCAGCATCTTGACTTGATAAAACTTAGGAGTACTTTCAGATGCCCAATACTACTATCTCTGTAAAGAGGTCAAAATGTGTGAGCTGGAAGGATGTGCATGAGGTAAGATCCATGATAGCATGGTGGCTGATGCCAGCCTTCTCTCACTCCAAAGTGGGCCCCACATGTCATTGACTTTTCATGCTGGACCAGCAACTCTGCTGTTTTCTTCAGAGAAGCCTGGGAGGCTCCAACTGCAACTCTACCTAAACCCTACTAACTAATTGCACATTTGACATTTGCCTCCCTGACCATAAGGTCCATAAACACATCCTTGAACTATCTACATTCTAGTTATTTCTTAGCAGAAAAAATATTGAGTTTGTGGTAAATTCTTCAGTAAAACATCAGTGCTAAAGAACAAGATGAATTCAGTTTTTCTTTTTTTTCTTTTTGGCAACCATTCGTTTGGAAAATTTTGGGATGCAAATTGGGAAAATTTTCATGATGTCATCAGCATCAGATCTCCCCGGTCACAATCGCAAGGAAGCAACACCATGTGTGTTTAGCCCCGTACAACTGCTCTAATCTTATCCATCACTCAATCATTCAGACACATATATGCACACCAACTTGAGGGTCCTCTTCTTAAGTGGGTTCCTGAGCATCTGCAATTTCACAATTATCATAGTCCTTTCCAACTTGATGTTCTTGTCGTCCTATGAAGAGAACATGGCACTCCTACTGCAAAGGTGACAAGAAATCTAACCAACAAGCCTAAACCTAATGTTGTGATCTCCAAAAAAGCCTATCTTGGTCACTATTTACTTCTACCATAGTTAAAAAGAGCAATTTTATGGTTCTTAAAGAGGCACATGAAGGTCCAATAGTATTTAGCTTTAATTTGTGATATTCTCTAATACCCTAATAATTTGCAGTATCTCACACTACCTTTCTACACCGCTTAAAATATAGCGACTTCTATCATTCAAAATTTATCACAAAATATAGTAACTTCTTCACCTACTCCCTCATCTCGACCAATTACTACCATCTCCTATTTAATTTCTCTGCATACTTCTTCGCATCAACCAATCACAACAATCTATGATTTAATTTCACCTTAATCTCTTAATTTCTGCTAAAACTTTTAGAAATTATTATATTTTGAGACGGAGGGAGTAGTTAAAACATAAGAGTATTATCCTCCACTATCCTCTTTTCACATTGATTGAGAGCAAAGGAGGCTGCCTCCTTGAAGGGAGTCCATGAATTAAACCACTGAAAAGCCATTGCACCAACTGCCATATGTACACTTTACAGATGAGCATGCATGCATCGATGATCACTGCAAGTACTCGAATTACATTATTAGCAGTTTTCATGTCTTTTGGAGCAATTCTTGATTCAGCCAGCCAGGCCAAGATCGATTTCAAGATAAGATCATGGCTCACCGCACACGCACCCACAGATCTTCGATTGCTTATGCACTGCCGTTTGGCAACAGCTATCATCAGAAAGTTCAGAGCAAGCTGAGTATAAGTTGGTCACACTGACCAATCTACTTAATTCTGATCAGTCAACATTAGAAACTTGACACTACTACTAGTTTCTGATGCTTTTGTGCTGTCCAAGCTCCAGCAATACATTTGTTAGATTCAGAACTACTACTTCAGATCAGTTTAAATGATTTGTTTGTTCTTGAATGTGTTTTGGACTGACTGCTTCTGTAATCCATCCACAGTGTTTTGTGGGGAAAAAAAGGAGGCTTTTTGGTGGTCCAGAACTGAAGTTTGTGTTTTTTTTTATTTTTGTGCAGTGGATGCTGCACATTAGAAATTTTTTTTATGAATAATGGGGGACCATATATAGTACTACAGATTAATTACATGTAGCAGCTTGATCCTATATTGTCATACTGTCACACTGTTGTTTTCTTCTTCCTCTTCTCTTCTGCTCTTCAGATGGATGATGAGAGGATAGAAACAGTTGTTACAGGCTTACAGTTACGGCTCTGAATCATGTTTTTCTGAAAGAAACTGAAGAATGCTTTTTCTCACAAGCTCCTAGGTGCAGTTCTTGCATGCATGACTTGCTGCATGCTCAGAAGAAAAAAAAAGAGAGAGGAGAGGTAAACTATTTTACTTCTAGCATCTAGTAGGTGGCTCACACAAATGTTGTGTAGTATAAGTATAACTGTATGTTCTGATCTTACCAGTGTTTTCAGCAATGACATTTGCATACCTGTAACTTCAGTCTAATAACACAAATCAAAGAAATTGTTTTTTTTTTTACTTTCACTTTTCAGTAAAATCTAATTTTAATTTGTGGGCAAAGAATTTTCATCTAGAAGGGCCAACATTAATCTGCAATAATAGCAATCCAACTATAGTCTTAAAGCCGGGTTATTTTTTAAAAAAAGCTTTTTTGCCTTACAAAAATCTATAAAATTTGTGGGTGAAAGACTGAAGAGTGAAGACTGACGTGCCATTGTTTCAGAGAACAAGAGACAGATCTTAGTGGAATCAATCGATTCATCAGATACACACGATCGACCAACCCTAATTATTACATGGTTTCATCATTTAACTGGATAGAAATGACTAGAAATGCAGGTTAAACTAGAAGACATAGAGAAAAGATCTGAATTTCTGCAGGTACTATTGTCTGCAGACCACCCTGTGGTGCTTTTTGGAGGCAGTAATCAACTCACCTCAGCTGTTTCTGCACTGAAGTTTACTGCGTGCATAGTCAAAGTAGGACTCTGAAAATGTTTAGTGACACATGTATAGTAAGCATCATCTCAGTTACAGTAGATGATCTGAACAATACTGTTTCTCTCTAATGAAATGATGTTTGGTTGCTGAAAATGGTTTAATTTGTACTTCCCTGCACTGACTTAACCAACAAATCTCAATGACTTGTCCAAAGACTCAAGCTTTGGATTCTTCTTGAATGCAGTGAATTCAGAGCAAACATGTCTGTACTCAACCTTCAGAAATGGGAATGGCACAGGAAGAAAACTAAATGCAAGTCAACATGTTAGAATTCATGATCAGAGAATTCTTGCAGAGCCAATGGTGTTAATTAGTGTGCTCTGGAATACATTGAATCCATGCTAAGATGGACCACCCAAACTTGATTGAATTCGGTTCAGTAGCTCATACAAGCCTGGCACCATGGGAAGCACATGCAAGTTCAGGTGTGTTTCTGACAACTTGGAATTGATCAATTAACACCTTACTTTTTTTTGGTAAGTTTCAAGATGCTCCAAACGGTACACTGTTAAAATTGTTACTTTCATACTTTGATCTCTTGTGTGTTTAAAATAAAAATTTGATCTCTGTAGAGGTGCATTTGAGACCCAAAACTGTTGAAGGTTCACAAGATTCAGGAATAGCATGTTCATAGCAGAGGCCCAGTGACTTGCAGTGATGGGCCTTCAGAATCATGGTACTTGTGCTACTTCCATGGCATAATTTGGGCCCATTAACATAGACATAATCCAAGTCATGCAAATGCAATAGCAAAGAACATAAGCTCATACAGAATTGTCAAAGGATAAAAAGCAACAAATTAAACCTGCAAAATGTATCAAAGTGAAGAGCTTGAAACCGGAAAGAATATGTACACGATATTGTATAGTAACTAATCAAGAAACCAGATAAACCATGAAAAAAATGATCACCTCTTAGGTGACCACCTTTTGTCATCTTCAACAGGTTTCCCACCTCTTTGGAAAACTAGGAAGTAGGAATTATCAAGTTTCATTGTTCTTCCTCAGTAGTCAACTCAGTTTCAAAAAAAAAAAAAAAAACCGATCGCGAAAAGAACAGTTGCTGTTCTTCCTTTATATTCTAAAACCGATCATTTAGCCCTGACCAAAGTATGTGCAGCCTGTATTGTATGAACAGACACCGATTTCGCGCTTTCATCTCCACACATTTCAGATTGACAAGATCCAATTCCACTAATATTTGACTACAAGGTTAGTCAATCTATATTCAAAAGGCAACACCACTAATTGAGCTGATCTGAGGTGAAATATATAAGCACATGGTCAAAACCAGATGGATCAATATGCACCATGGTCAAAAAGAGATTAGCTAGCAGCAAAGCAAGAACAATACTAGTTTACTACAAACAACACCTGAAATAATTACAGAGCCAACTCACACATGTTCCCATCTGTCTGCCTTCAAAATGCAGCATTGGACATTAACAACTTTTCATTAAACTTTTTCCCGGATCACCAACCTCGGTTTGTTGGAGCTGAACTGGCAAATTGCAACTGATCCTGTCATCCTGATGTGAGATGATTCATGAGCATGCATCTGTTCTGCAGGCCAGATTGAGGACTTGTCCAACATTCAGACTGCTTTAAGATTCGATGCGAC